CGCCCTTTGCGTGAGTTAAGAATGCAGTGCAGTTGGCCACGTTACACCACCAGTGCTGGGAACGACAACCAGTTTGCCAGTGCCCAAGTGGATGATGGAGGTCCGACCCGCGATGGTGAGGGTTAATCGCCAAATTAAGCCCTTGAAAATCAGTAACAGCCATAGGCGAATCCTCTCTATTTCACCATTGCGCAGCAGCTTCGCTTGAAAGGCCTGAAACTATCGTTTTCTAAGGGCCATCACTAATCTCACCACCGCTATTGACTCTTACTCTCGACGCTTATCTGAGCACGTCGAAGATCCTTCGAGTGAGTTGAAATCGCAGTGAAAAATAGGGCTGCGCGACGAATAAGCACACCAGGTAAGGTACCTACTCAAGGTATATGCGAAAAGAGGCAACGGCGCCTCTCGGCCGGCCCGCTTCACCAGTCACCTCTTCATCATCAAGCCACAAGCTGCACCGCCGGCTCTTACTTCGTGCTTCGCAGCCAGCTAAACTCTTCAAGGGCTCACTTTCTCCCATTTCTGCGCGTCTGCTCCCAAACAAGGTCTCAGATGACGACTCCTCCCTCGTATCGCAAACCCCTCTAATTGGTCACCCAATAAACTCGACACATCCCGTCGCAAAGCCCGGGCGACCTCGGTGCACGCGGGGTACCGCACCGGCTCCCTCCCGACAGCTCCGCTGAGGACCGGTGGGATACCTAGTTATCGAGCCAAAAGAATTCCCGATGGTGGTACAGCATCACACCATCCAACAGGCGGTTCCGAGTCCCGAGTCTATTGGATGCAACCAACTAATTGTTAGTGTCTCCCTCCCTTACCTCTAACCTCCCCGATTGCCGGTTGCCGGGCAGCAGCCAGCCCCCGTGGCTGCGGCCGATCCGACGCCAATGAGAAGCCCAGCACATCAGACTACCAGTGAGTAAACTACTGCACGTCGGACGGATGTAACGACGCGGGCTGGCAAGCTTGGTAGCTTGGGAGCCTCCAACCAACGGCTCAACGCGATTTTTCCTTCTCCCCTTTTCCCTTACGTTTTTTTCCCATTCTCCACACAAAGGAGGCTCCTCCCAGCATTCAAACCACGCCATTACGGGGGGAGGATCGACTCCCACTAGACAACGGGACCAGTCTCCCAATCAACGGCCCAAATATTAATAGGATCGACCGCGGGGAAGATAGAGAGGATGGTGGATGCACAGCTAAACCTGCATTGCAGACTTGCAGGCTTGCGGCTGGGGCACTGCCGGGATGCGCAGAAAGGCTTTCAGCTTTTTCGTTTGTTGTCACACGTCAGACTGGAGCCACCGCGCCCATCAGGATCCAGGGAAACAATACACGACAAAAAGCAAGGAAACGGAGAAGAAAGAAAAGGGATGGGATTTTCTTGGTCTCGCTAAAAGACTTGGTAGAAAGAGCAAACCCCATATTTACTTACCTCCCTTCCCCTTTTCGCTCCGCTCTAGTGATTCCACTTCACTTCTCTATTCTCATCTCGCAGCCGCCATCACCAGTGACTGAAGCATCAAAAACGAACATCACGATACCTCACCTCCTAATGCCAACCACACCACAACCTCACACCACCTCCCAACCTCCAAACCAAACCGCAAACATGTCTTCCACAGCAGTATCAACAGGCACCGCCTCCGCCCCCTCGGCAACCACAACATCAACCTGCACCGCGAGCCTCTACGACACCCCCGAACACGACCGCGTCTGCGCGATGCCCTACGGCGGCAACCACACAGACATAATGTCCGCCTGCTGCAACGACGCAGACGTGGTCGCCTACTACGACAACTGCGGCCTCTACTGCCTCGCCCTCGACCAATCCGTCAAAGACCTCCAAGACTGCCTCTTCGAACAGGGCGCGGGCTACACCGAGGTCTTCTGCCGCGACAACGGCAACGTGAACGCCTCCGCCACGGCGACCGGCAACGTTGACCCGCCCGCATCGGCGCAGGCGAGCGTTGTTGCGTCGGGCGGTTCCGGGTCGGGAAGCGGTTCTTCTTCGGCGAGCGGGAGCGGGAGCAGCTCGAGTTCCACGTCTTCCGCGAATGCGGCCGCGGGTGTGCATGTCCCTGCCGGGGTGAACACGCTTGGGTTGACTATTGGCGCTCTGCTGCTCTCCGCTGCGACATTCGGTGCTCTTCAGATCTAAGAAGAAGATCAATTATTCGAGAAGAAAACAAAGCTATTCAAATGGGGCGATGGAAATGAACATGGCTGGGCTATGGAGGTCCCGGATATGAAGTGACAAACGGCCGATCAACATAATGAGATCACATCACAACAGTACGATATTACTCGGTGAATACGGCCGAAGGCAGCTACCTAGACCAGCTTAATAGCAGCAGAGTACGGAGAAAAGCACGCGATACCCTGTCTGCGTTCACAGGAGGAAAATGTATTTAGCATGTTGTTCAATCAAGTTAGTATCAAAACTTAAGGAAACGAAGCCGCCTGCCGCGCTCACCGTTCCATGGAGCACTTGAAATCATGTAAGCTGACGAGTGTTCCTCGCGAATTCTCACCCGAGGCTCGCAGCCCCGAAAGGCGCCCTAAGTGACCTGCGGTCGCATAGGCGGCACCTACCTTTGTACATACCTTGGGAAATGCACCATCTCACAACCCGCGAACCCGCCAGCGCCCGTCTTTCCACTAGGATTGGATAGTGATTAGGCCTACTGGCCGGTCCTCTATTCCAGTCTAGCCAAAGCAAGGTACAATGCAAGGACTTCACTGCGATTTGAACTCACGCAAAGTGTCTGCGATATGCTCACCTGAGATGGGAGGTAGGGAGCAAGAGTCAGCGACAGCGGCGGTGGCGGCGGCGGCGGCGAGAGTGGTGGCTGCTCCCAAATTACTAGAAGAAAGCGGAGGGACGTTGGTCACGGAAAGATGTTGCACGGGCAATGATCGGAAGGAGAGAATTTGACTGCAAATATGTCGCCTCATGGGCTGACTTTTTGTGATTGAACCTTACTATCGCAAGCCAGCACTGCTACACTGTCAACTTGGACGCTGATTCGCATTTCCGCTCTTCGGGCATTCATGTCGCGCAGCTTCTACATCCTGCAGCGTAAGCAACACTGTGGGAGTTTAGGTACGAGCTCACGCGGAGAGCCTGGGCGTGCTGAGGCAGGTGACTTAGCTTTGCTGGGTGAGATTCACTTCAGACGGGCGGGCTATGAAACGCCTTCTTTCGCTCATGACGAGGAGAGCTTCGTCTTCGTGGCGTTCAAGAAAGAAGCGCTGCACTTGATGGCTGCAAATGGGCTCAAGGTGCTTTGCCCCGACGAGCCAGTGAATGCCTCCCGCTCGATGATTCCGGACCACCGTGACCGGCTGCCTGTGGAAGTGAGTCTTTTGCACCGCCGTGTGCAGTACCTAAGGGTGGCTCGTTGCTCAAGTGTTAAATCGCGGAAGCTCATCACAACCAAAATGCGCAATGATCACAAACTGCCGCGTCCAACGGTTCCAGGTAGCCAGATGGGTTCTATGGTATGGTAGTCATGAGAAGTTTAGAGGGCGGAGGGGTTGGGAACCTGACTCCAGCGGACCCGTTAGTGTCTCTCGGCTCAGTGGCTCCGGATTCACCGGGACCGGATCTCAGCTGCCGGTAGAGAGTGGGCCCCGGGCCGTCCCCTCGCAGCCCCCGAGACTGAATGGCTTGCTGCTCACCTTATCCGTTCAACGAATACATCCATTCTTCTCGGAGGAAATAACCCATCGCTCCCAGTGATTGCACTTCATCAATTGACAAGGTAGACGCACTTATCACACAAAGAGAACGCCACGACCAGTGGAACCAGTCAACCAGGTAGATGCTACAGTACTAGGACCTAGAGAAGATGGAGGGATCTTTGCTTCATGATATGCACCATACTGCCTGGCCTGCTGTAGACAGGCATATGCGGGAAGTACTCTGTGGTAACATACAAAATGAAGAACTGGGAGAAAGCGTGAGAAGGTGCGAGGCTAGATTGTGGATAGTGCGACTATCGATGATGTAGTAGCAAGACCGTAGAGAGACTTTACCCAGTACCAGAGAACGAAACCCACTGCTGGACTAGCATGGCCTTGGATGATCCTGAAGCTTAATAGAATCGGCATGCACCACTAACCACAAAGTCGGATTCAGACATCTCCAGACAGAGTTTGTTGCGTCAAAGGTGCATTACCCGGCTACCATATACCCTCGGCTACCATACCTCGGCTAGGACATGATACCAGGCCCACATGAGCCCCAAAAGATGGTATTTGCAGCTGGCCCTCTTAGCACCGCGGGAAAATGCTAAATGACACGAATGACGATCTCCACGGGCCCAGCACTCTGGTAACCATTGTGCGAGGGCGTCGGGGAAAAGCAATGACCCCCCTTGCGGGGAAACAATCTGGGGAAATCGCAGTGTACCCCAGAGAATCTCCACATTCTCCGCATCTGAACATCTCTCTTTCATCTCTACCCCATATCGGCAGTTCATCTGATCTCGACTTCTGCTGAACATTCTTCCTGCCATCCTTGCCATGCCCATGTTTCCCCCCCGCGATCTCCAGCTTGGCCCCAGCCGGGCAGCCGGGCCTCTGCCGGGCCTCTGGCTATAAAGATCCCATCGTGTTCTCCCGCCAAGAAAACTGATGTGATCTACAGCTAGATCTCAGGCACGGCATTACACCTCGAGAGGAAAGCGGAACACCAAGCTCAATCAAACTTCCGTCATGTTGTTTGTCTCGACAGCCAGTGCGGCCGCGCTGCTGCTCGCGGCCTCGCCTGCGCTTGGTGCCGGCATCCCAGCGAGCGGTAACGCTACCAACCCTGTCATCAACCTTGGCTCGGCTGGCTCTTACCTAGGCGTGGTCCAGAACAATGGAACGTATGTCGAAACTCTCACTCGAACCTTGCACCCTCGTCCTTCCTTTGTCTTTGATCCTCCCGAGACAAAAAGTAGCTGACTCTGAAATTTCTTGGGCTCGCGAAAAGTGTCGCCTCCTGGAAGGGAATCCCGTACGCCGAGCCCCCAGTCGGTTCGCTCCGCTTCATGCCTCCCAAGGCCCTCGGGGCCCGGGGCTCGGACGTCGTCGACGTGACAGACAACGCCCTGCGGTGCGTACAGTTCGCCGGCGCGCCGTACGGGGTCGTCAACAGCAACATTGTCGGTCCGCGCTCCGGCCCCGGACAAGAAGACTGCCTCAAGCTGTGGATCTGGAAGCCCGCCAAGGCCAAAGCCGGCGACAAGCTCCCCGTCATGTTCTACATCCACGGCGGCGGTCTGCAATACAGCGCGGCGCCCAACAACGACTTTAGCGACTGGGTCGGCCAGAGCCAGGACTTCATCGCCGTCAACGTCGGCTACCGCCTCGGCGCTCTCGGCTTCATGGCCCACCCGTCCCTGCCCTCCGCCAACGCCGGTCTGCTCGACCAGCGCCAGGCCCTCCGCTGGGTCAAGCAGAACATTGCGGCCTTTGGCGGCGACCCCGGTGACGTGACCGTCATGGGCCAGTCTGGCGGTGGCTACGCCGTCGTCTCGCAGATGGTGCTCTACGACGGTGACAACCAGGGTCTGTTCTCCAAGGCTGTGCCCCGTTCCGTGCAGAGATCTCCCAGCTTCCGCGTAGACGAGCTCGCGGACCGCAACGCTGAGTATTTTACGCTGCTCAACTGCACGAGCGGACAGGCTCAGTTGGACTGCTTTCAAGGTGCCCCTGTTCCTGCACTGGTGAATGCCTACAACGCCTTGACCAAATACAAGGCTTCTTCAGGGTATGAAACCACACCTTGAAACCCCCCATATGCTGGCGCAAAGATGCTGGCGCAAAGATCACCATTTTCCTCGGCTAACGTTTTTTCTCGGACCTGCCAGCGAATTCAATAACCTCACCTTTGGCAGCTCAGGCGCCTTCTTGCCCATGATCGACGGCGTCACCCTGACCGACTCGGTCACGCGGCTCTTCAAGAAGGGCAAAGTCGCCAAGGTCAAGACAGTCGTGGGCTTCGTCAACGACGAGGGCGCCAACATTGCACCCCGCAACACGAGCGTCCTCGACTCGACCACAAACGGAATCTGGAACCTGACCGACAGCCAGGTCAAGCAGGTCGCCGGCTACTACCCCAGCAACTCTACTTTCGGCTACGCCAGCCCGGACAACTTCTTCCTGACAACCTTCAAGTCATACATCATGGCCCTCAGCCCGTTCGGGGAGCAAGGCATCACCGGCTCCGAGCGTCTCGTGGGACGGTACATGTCCAAAGCCGTCGGCGAGAACAGGGTCTGGGCATTCCGCTTCAACGCCCCCGGCGTCGGCACAAATTACTCCTCCAGCACCAACCCGTACCCGCTCAACTACGTCGCTCACTCGGCCGACAACAGCTACCTCCAGAACGCCACGGCCGTCATGACGCCCTTTGAGAAGAGCCTCGCGCTCGAGTGGCGCGCCTACATCGGCAGCTTCATCCGCCGCGGCGACCCGAACAAGGAGAAGCTCGCCACCTCGCCCACGTGGCACAGCTACGGCGCCCTGGGGGGCGCGGGAGAGTTTGTCGATTCCCCCGTGAGATTGGTCCCGCAGTTCGCGTACCAGAGTAATGCGAACGCGAGCCTGCCCACGAGCACGCAGCTCGAGGTGTCGCAAAAGGCTCAGCTCGAGAGGGTGGATTGGTGGTTGACGGATGCCATGTTGGATGCGACTCGCGTGTGAAGAAGGAGGAAAGTACCTCGTGCAGCCGTACTCCAACCCTCTCTGCCTGTTTCCGTCCAATGTGTTGGAAAAGAAAAAATTCCCTGAGTCTCAAGGTGTGAAGCGTCACAGCCTTCTATCACGAGCCCAAAGTCTACATATAGTTAATGTTGAATGACTAGTACTTAGCTATCCCAGGTTTCTCCTATCTTGTACTGTGTCCAACTATGGAAATTTCCGAATGTTTAAGTCAGCAAGCCAATCGCACACCAAAGGAACGATAGCACGGGGGGCGTTGAGAGGACGCGGACCAGGGGTGGGTACAGTCTCAAGTTTCTAGACCTTGCGGTTCCATCTCTAACTTCTGCAGGGCTGTCAGAGGGACCGAAGCCCATTGTGTACTGTCGTTCAGGGCATCAGTGAATGGTAAAGTTCCGTGCCCACCACTGCATTTTAGTGGCTCCGGACTCCCCGGGACCGGAGCCCCTCGGCTGCCGATAGAAAGTGGGCCCCGGCCGTCCCCCCCCGCACCCACCGAGACCGAATGGGCTGGCTGCTCAGCTTTACATTTTCGAGGCATACTACATCCATTCTCTTTAGAGATCTCATGCATCGCTTATATTCGTTGTACTTCATCAACGATTTGAAATCAGGTGGGATTCGTAGGAGCTCAAAGTCGGACGCATTGATCACAGTGAGAATGCCATAACCAGTGGAGCCAGTCAGCCAGGTATGTAGATAATACAGTACTGGAACCTGAGCGGCGAGAGAGAGCCTTGATTTATGATTTATATGATCGACTACCGCGGCTTTCATCATTCTTCTGAATCCGATGTTGTGAACAGTGCACTTTCGGGTTCCGAAAATTGTGGTGAATGGAAGAATGAACTTCCCATGCCTTGCTTTTGAACCTTTTACATCTCAAGCTTTCGGGTGTCTTGTTTATATAGTCAAACCCTTCGTTCTCCTGATGAGCCTACCAATGAATTATCACAAAGTGGACGAGCTTGAAGATCAGTCGCAGGGGAATCTTCAAGATGGAACGTTCAAAGTCATGTTTCATTACATTATCTGAGCTCAGGCAATATTCATACGTAATAGCCCGTCTCTTCCCAAAAACTTCCAGTAACCGCAAGTGCTGAACAAGAACCCAGCATTCATGATCATAAGTCATACATCATCATAACTTCGTGATAGCATGGAACTTTTTCCTTCTAAACCTGCGCCTTCGTCAAACAGCCGTCATCACACTCATCTTCTCTATCGCAGATGATACCATCAAACTTTGCGACGGCCCGCCGCCCTATGATGCTGCTGCGCTTCATATTTCGGCTTTCCATCTCTCTTGTTTTGCCACCATAGCGGCTGAGTCCTTCCATAGGGTTGATAAGACCCGGACCCATCATCGGCGAACCTCCTGCACTATTATTGGGAACGGCAGAGTTGACAGGAAGCGCAAGTCCACTGCTGCCAGGCGCCCCAGAGTCCCTTGCTCCCAGACTGCTGCCGTACGCGCCATCAGGACTGCTCTTGGGTAGCGCATTGATGATGCTCTGGATAAGAGAAGCAATGTCGATCTGAGGCTGTGGTGCAGGGTTTGGAGATGTAGGAGGAGTGCTGCTGTCCTGGGGATTTCCTGCCGGGGGTGGTGGAGGCTGACCTTGACCTGGTGTCTGAGGGGGTGATGCCGGCGGTGCGGCAGGAGGTCCAGCAGGAGGTCCCGGGGCAGGATTCTGGGGAGCAGATGGTGGGTTGCCGGCACCTCCGTTGTTTCCGGTGCCGGATCCACTGTTGCCGTTACCACCTCCGGCACCATTGGCAACATCGTCATCGGACGGCAAGCTCAAAGCCTGGCCGGTTTTACTGTAAACGGTGACAGCCCAGTCCCCTCCACAGATGTCGTTTGATTTGCCATCGCAAACTTCGTTGCACATCTCTTCCGGGATGCGTACGGCCAGCTGGAACGCAGTGCCACACCAACACTCCTTGCCGTACTCCGTGCCGGCGAGCTGGAAACCCATGGAGCCACAGTGTGCAATACACTTCTCATTTGACATGCTACCTGTGAAATAGATGGACGGGTCGCCATCGAGTGTTCGAACGGCATAGTCCTTGAAACATCCAAGATACTCCCAGCCAGTAACCTCAGGAGCGGGTTTAGGTCCACGGTTATCCGGAGATCCATTGTCAGATTCTGCGCCAGCGTTGCCAGATCCTGCACCTGCGTTGCTGCCGGCTTCTGGACTTGAAGGGCCGGTGTTGCCAGGTGCTCCGTTGTCACTTGGTGCACCTGAGCCTGAGCCGTTACCAGATCCATTGTTTGAGTTGCCGTTGGCAGGGTTCGCAGGGGAACTACCGTACCCAGCTGGAGGATTTCCGTTAGGTGACGGGGAGGCGGGACTGAGAGGTTGGCCAGGACTGGCTGGAGGGTTTCGATTGGAGGGAGAGAGAGTAGGAGATGCAGCCGGTGGTTCGGGGACGTTGGCAGGGCCACTGATTCCAGAACCATCTCCAGAGCCACCATCAGATCCAGATTGACTCGTGGGTTGGCCGCCAGTGGTTGTGCAAGGCGTTGATGCAGGGTTGCCAGGATTGCCTTTGCCTGCGTTGCCGTTACCAGGATCGTTGTTGCCGTTCCCATTGCCGTTCCCATTGCCGTTCCCATTTCCATTGCCATTGCCATTGCCGCTGCTAGAGTTGTCCGGGCTGGGGTTGGGGGCCGAGCCGGCACCATTTCCTGGAGGGCCGGTGTACTGACCATTGCTCGCCGTTGTGCAAGGCGTAGATGCAGCCGAAGAGCCACCGTTGCCAGCGCCAGAGTTACCATTGCCAGGCGTTCCGTTGCCGTTGTCCCCATTGCCCCCATTGCCATTACCACCGTCGCCAGAAGCGTTGTTGTTGCCACTGTCTCCGGTGCCACCATTGCCGACTCCAGTGGGTTGGGGAGCGACAAAAGCTGTCACAGTCTTGATCACAACGACGGGAGGATCGTTTGCAGCAGCAGGTGCCATGTTGTTGTTGTCGGGAGCACAGTACCAGCCACCTTTGCAGTGGTAGCAAGGCCATCCCATCCCGCAGGGCGCTGGCAGCATTGGGGTTTCCTCTGGGGGACAAAACCATCCATTGAGACACTCTGAACAAGAGTAGCCTCGACCAGGGCAAGGACATGAGCCGGAAGGAGGTTTTGCTGGGGAAGCCGGGCATGCAGGGCATTGAACAACGGCAGGGCAATCGGAAATGGGGATGACTGGTGTGCCTGGTGGTATGTTTCCAGAGGCAGGATCTTGTCCCTCGTCAACTCCGAAGACCGAGCCGCCTGTCTGAGAAGTCGGAGAGGGGCTCTGTCCGTTTCCGCTGTTGGCTGGCACGCCGTTTGGCATGGAGACGGGTGTTCCGGCAGCGACAGTCAACGTTGTCAGGGGGCTGGCTGCAGGAGCTGATGCCGGTGGCGAACCTCCTGCACCGCTACTTGCCTGGTTGGGGGCTTGAGTAGCAGCAGGTGGAGGATTGGCTAGAGTCGTAAGTCAGTACACTGTGTAAATCAAGATAGACTGTCTCTTACCTGGCCTGGGATCCACCGGACTCGAAGATTGCACAGGTGATTGAGGCTGACCTGCTGGGGCAGTATTCTGTGGGTGGCCATTGTTTCCAGGGCCTCCGGCTCCAGCTTGTGTCGAAAGAGAGCTAGCAGGAGGAGTAGCGTTTGCACCACCAGCCGGAGACGATGCTGTTGGGGACGGCTGTGAAGCTCCAGCTGCCGGAGTTGCTGCAGGAGTGGAAAGTTCAGCTTGAGAAGATACAGGAGGGTCGGCTGGGATGACTGCAGAACTCGAAGCTGGTACGTTAGATAAAGGTGCCGCCGGCGTGGCGGGAGGGGAAGACTGCCCAGGGCAAGGAACAGCAATGAAAGTAGGAATCCCGCTCTCATACTTGACTCCAGTACAAAGATTTCCGTCGGTAGGCAAGTCTTCAGGGAGCTGAGGAGCTGTTGTTGGAAGCGGCATAATGACTGAAGCTGACTGCAGAACACTTGCAACCAAAGATGAGAGGCCTGAGACGACTGCGGTGGCATCGACGACGTCAGATACGGCAATCGCTGAGGGAAGGTTGATAACAGCCGAAGGAATATGGCCGACGATGGAGGATACAACGCTGACAAGCACCTCTGGAATGTTGGTGATGATGGAGGCGCCGTTGCCAATAGCCGCAGTGACTTCGGAAACCGGGGGGGTGCCACCGACTTGGGTCGGAAGAGGTACGGGCAGTCCAGACCCGGCAGGCAGAGGAAGAGCAGACCCAACCGCGCTGACGATGCTGTTGACCGCACTCTGGATCGGAGGCAGGAGTCCACCATTGGATCCTTCGACATTCGGGATGGCTGTTGGAATAACGGGGCCGCCGCCAGGCTGGAGTATGGACTCAACCGACGCGGGCACAACATTGGAGACAACTGGTATGACATTTCCAGGGTTGAGGATGGATGGAACCGGAGTTACCACTGCCACAAGTGCTGAACTCAAAGAAGCAAGCAGACTGGGAATGACATGGCCAACTTGAGGAATGACGCCGCCAAGAGGACCTTGCTGTTGTTGGTTGTTGGGAGTGGGTGGTGCAGCCGCAGGGAGAGGAGTAGTGACGGCGGGTTGAGCAGGGTCCGCAATGGTGGTAGTTTGACCACCGCCAAAGATCCATGGAAGAAATTGCCTGGCTTCGACGATATTGTGCCTCTGGGAGAGGGTGGACTCTTCCTGGGATGGTCGAACAGCCTGGGTCACAGCAAAGGCTGTGAAGAGGGCCAAGATGACGAGGGCAATGCCGGCTGCCGTCTGGCTTTGGCGTTGTGAGGGCATCGAGGGCCCAGGGAGCCGCATGATGATAGTTTTTTGTTGCCGAAAACGCACGAAAATAGAATGAGTGGAATGGCGAGAACGTGTTGTGTGTAGAGCACTGCCCGAGGAAATGAAGGTTCCAAAACTTGGGTTCCAAGAAAACGAGCCAAAATTGAAGCGAGAGTGTGATGTACTGGGGAGAATGAAATGTGTACGAGGTGGATGGAAGAGAAGAAGAGATTGAAGTTGGGATGGGATGGGGACGAGGGGATTATATACGGCTCTTCATGTTGGGCATGCCGCTGCTGCTCATTCGCGAAGAGGCGAAAGGCAGGAAGCAAGTGGTGGATGAAGAATGAGAGACGGCCTTCCAGATTTCCATCCAGAAGCTCAAGAGAGCAGGAAGGAATGGATGGTCTGCTATTCTCTGCAGTCATGTGCGGGAAAGAAGAGTACTACGGTAGGCATCGGCATTGCGCATCGTAGTCTTGCCTTTATCTTCGGAGGTGCGCTTACCAGTTCCATTCAAGCAAGTCAAGAACCAGCCCATAAGTGCGTTTACCTTCCTGTTGCGACGTGGGGTATCAGAAGCAGTAAAGTCCGGCCGCAAGAACACTCGAATGAACAACCAAAAAAGGAAAAACAGAAACAAGGGAGGGAGGGGGGATACTGACCTTATAATTCACGCCCCTATTCGGATTCGAACAGCGCGCCCCTCGTTTCCAGCACGGAAGTCATTGGAGTATTTCATTTACTATCGACTCTGCGTCAGAGTCTAACCACCCGGCCAAATGGCCGGATGGGTGCTGGTGACAGGAAAGGTGAATAGGCCCCCGAAGTACCCTCCCACCCTCCTTGGGAGGAAGAAGGCACGTGGAGGCGGGAAGGTGTTGGTAGGGCTGCTTGCAGATGATATTCACCTGCCTCAGTCATCTGACCAAGGGACATTACCTACCTTCCTTGACAATTCGCTCGTTGCAAGAAGGTACTTTTCCGAGGAGGTGCATCTTACTTACCTCACTAATGGATCTGGAAAGTACGAGAGGGACCAGTGCCCTCCGTTCCCGTCGTGAGGCGGGAGGTGCTCTTCCCTTACGACTTGCCAGACATCACCTTCAACTCTTATTACTATAGGTAAGGAAACCTTACATCCTGTTCCTAAGAGGTTGTCAGGTCTGCCTCGGCGCAAACGCTAGGGTAACAAGTTGGAAGTTTCAAGATCGAGATCACACTCGGTTCTACTCTCCCGAAAGAATGTATGGCATTGGACATACCTGGCCATTCTTTTGCCAATCAACGAAATTGTTTAGACACAGATCCCAGGGGCAAGCAGGTAAAAAAAAATTAGAGCCCTTGCCATACCCAAGAGACACACATCTGACGGAGGAGGAAGAAATGTCCAATGCCAATGCTGCTGGCCATATGCCACTGCTTCATTTATCCTATAGGTATCTCGCGAGGTCTACACCTGCTACCGTCATTATCAATGCGTTCCCAATCCCACCATGCCTTCCCACCTGTGTCTCGTAATGCTCGTCTAGGTACTTTCTTGCAATATATTCCTCACTCCTTGGCTCTTGCATAATCTGTCGCCAGACGAGCTCTAAGTGGTACTTGCCACATGTCTATGCCTTGCTTTCGTCCTTGCCCCAACGCTGGGTCTCATCACCACCCTTCCACTCCTTCTCGACGTAACCAAGCTCGCCCTTGACCTTGTTCACCGTCGCCTTGTCACCGGTGTTTTTGCCAATGTTGTCGCTGTATGATCCCGTTAGCAAACTTGCAGCAGAAGAAGCGACAAGGAATGGAACTGACCTGATCTTGATTGCCGGGTTTCCGTTGGCGGAACTCAGCTTGATAACAATATTCAACGGCACCGACTTGGCCCCCGTCTTCAAATGCTTGAAATCATTCGTCAAAAACGTGCCAACACCAAACGTCGGCGTGAAGCCCGCCGCCTCCGAGATGGCCTGGTACTCCAGACACTTTTCAATGTCAAGCGAGTCAGAAAACACCATCGTCTTCTTGTCCTTGATCCCCTGGCTGTCGTAGTACGTCCGCAGCATCTTGACATAATCCGCCGGATCACCACTATCCTGACGCACGCCCTGAAACAGCTCAGCGTACGTCAACAGCCTGGTCCCGTCCGCCGTCTTGAACTTGCTCTCGTCACCATCGAGAGCGTGCACCGGCTGACTAAACGACCTCAAAAACTCCTGCGTGCCAAAGGTGTCCGTCAGGGCAATACCGAGCTTACCGCCGAAGCAGCCGACCCAGTACCGCAGCGCCAGCTCCGTCGCAGCCTTGTAATCGTTGTGAATGGCCGCGATGCCCATGAACCACTCGTGCGCGACGGTGCCCACGGGCGGGATCCCGAATCGCATGGCGAGGTGCACGTTGCTCGTCCCCGTCAGCTTGCCCTTGAGGCCTTTCTTCCCCCCTTCCTTGCTCGCCTTGACGAGGCCGCGGAACACGAGGGCCTGGGTGTGGTAGTCGCGCCGGCGGCGGGTGCCAAACTCGGAAAAGGTGCAGCCGGCCTCGAGCAGGCGCATGCCTTTGGCGAAAGCCTGGTCCTCCTGGCCCTCGTAGCTCCAGTCCGTGTCCATGAAGCGGAAGTAGGCCTCGGAGGTGAGGGCGAGGAGGGGGATCTCGTAGAGGATGGTGTCGAGCCAGGCGCCCTTGATCTCGACGTGGAGGTCGCCAATGTCCGAGTCGGCGCCCGTGTCGTCGCCGACGGGGTGGAAGGTCGCTACGGCTTGCTCTCTCGGCCGCAGGCGGAATTCCTTGAGGAACTGGACGTATTCGTCGGTCAGGTAGGTGCAGTGGGTCTTGAGGAAGCGGTATTCTTCGTCGGAGAGGGAGATGTTGCCGAGCTCTGTTCAGGTGCCGCACGGGGTGAGTCAGTCACAAGTGTTCCGCGTCTCGATAGTGGTGAGCGGGGTTTTGGAGGGGCTTCTCTCTCGACTCACTTCGGATCTGCTCTTGAAGCCAGCTAAAGGCAGCTCTCGAGAGCTTCTTCTCGGGTGTGCGGTTCGTGAATGCGTAGGTAACTGGGACGTCTTTGAAGTATTTGAAGACGGCGCATTGCATCGTCAGCTTGTAGAGATCAGTATCCAAGAAGGATATGACGCCCTCGGGGAAAGGTGACGAGCTGTTGAAATCCATGGTCGCAGATTGCAGTGACGTGTCGGTGGTGGGGTTGGTAGTTGGATTCCGCGCAATCGCTGCAGTATGGGTGTCGCGGTTGCAATGCGACGCAATTAAAGAAGAGAAAAGGGCTGAGTTGGTTGCAAGAAAAGATTGGCAGAAAAAAAAAGAGTCTGCAGGCGAGGTCGAAATGCGCGTGTCACAACGGCGCGATCGTGACAAAGCTCGGAGCAAGGAGGAGGGGGAGGGGGAGGGGGAGGGGTTGTGTACTTGTGAAAGAGGAGGATGACGAATCTGTGGGACTTTTGGCAGCTGCTGCACGACACTCCTAAAACCAGCAAGCTTTCATGCCCAGGAATGTGACGGGACGGAAGCTGATTGATAAGGCACACACTCATGGACTTACGCAGTAGGTTTGCATTCACACTGTCAGATGGGCGAGCGGATGAGCACGAGAGCAGGGGTTGCCAAAGTTCCCATGCGACTTTTAGTTGTCACAGTTTCAACTCGGAGACAAGGAATGAGGGGCTGGAAAAAAAGGGTCATGGATCCCTGGGAAGCTGGGGGACCATCAAGGTAATTGACTTCCTTCTTGGCACGTCTACTGTGTTGACCATATTGAACATGTTGGGTATTCTTACATTGACCGATTGACCATATACCAAGTAATGCAGCACAGAACATAATTAAGTTGAGCCCAAAGCAGAGAGCGCAAGCATGACAACCGTCGGAGTTGGCCGGCGCATCAGTTTTGACGGGCTCCGCGCTTCCCACGACTAGGTAGAACAAGCAGCAGCCATCGTTCCATTTTACTGGCGCGCAATCATCACGTTAGCCTTTGCAGACGGAAAGGGTCCAGCCATGTTTGCAGCCAATAATGCTCTCTGACGCTTTAGGGAACTCTCTGATGCCGTTGCGGAAGACGCCGTGGCTAAGGTAAGGTAAACCTCTGAGGTACACTTACCTTATGTAAGCGAGAGTATGACATAAGCAGCAACAGTAGCGCATTCTTCGCAGAGCGAGGTACCTTGCATAAGGTACCTTATGAAGCCATAGAGCAAATGTTCTTCTTGTAATAGGAATTACAGATATTCTATAAAAATACTAAAGTACCTTATGGTATCGAGTTATCAGCATCATTACTTGCAACCAACTCCTTCAAGAATCAAGACTCAACCAAGACATGCG